TCAAGAATAGAAAATGAATTGACAAAATGTTTTTGCATTCTCTTTAGAGATGGTGAGTTCTTTTCCACTTTCATTTGTCAACATAATATCATCAGTTATTCATGTGAAAACCTTCTTGCCTTTTTGATAGGCTACCCATTTGGATGTGATGTGTTGTTCTTTTAATGTGCTTTAGAGTTCTATTTACCAGAACAATAAAGTGTTTTGTTTTAATATTCATAAATAAGCTTGATCTACCCTTTTCTGTTTAGTGTCATTTTTGCCAAGGTGGCCAGTGGGGTTGTGTTGTGGTGACATTATGAAAGAGCATATGTGTATTTCCTTTCTGTGCTCTGGGTATTGCAAATAGGGTCATCTTCCCTGGTGACCCTGACATAACTCACTTGTGAATCCCCAGCACCTGAGGACTGTGTATGTCCCAGAAGGGTCATGTCATTCTTCTAGTGCTCCTAGAATAAAATCTAGATATGTCATGCTTTACACGGCCCTGCATACTGTTCTCATTTCTCATGTCTGTGAGCAACCAGCTCTGGCATAGTTTCTAGCTGTTCACTGTGCTGCAGTTGCCTGCAAGCCTCTCTCTGTGTTCCTGAAGCACACCAGGATCTTCTCAACCCAGAGCTTTCCCACTTGCTGTTTTCTCTCCTTGCCATGGTCACCATTCAGTTCTTTACTGAGCTGCCTCATTCTTTTCTTATAGGTCTTGCTTTGTATCTTCCAGTGAGACTTCCTTTCACATCTTATCTAGTGTGACATCTTATCCAGTGTTCTTTCATCACTCTTCTTCCTCAATGGGTTGTTTATTCCCTTCTAGAATCGTCTTGTCCATTTTTTTAAACTTGCTTATTGTTTGCTATTCCACTTTCGCTCTATTGTTGCCTGAAAAGTTCTGCTTCTCCAGGATCTTCCCAGTCTGTACTCTAAAATTTACCCTAAAATTAGATTTACAAAAAACAGAAGGAATGAAGGAGGAAAGGGAGGATGGGCTGGTAGGAAGAAGGGAGAAAGAGACAAGGAAGGAAAAAAGGAAGGAAGGGAGAGTAAGAGAGAGAAAAAGAGAAAGAGAAAAAGAAGGAATGAAGGAAGAAAGAAAAGAAAGAAAGACACACACACACACACACACACACACACACACACACACACACACACACACACAGAGACTCACGGTTGACTGACTGAATCAATCAGTCCCGGTGAAAGGTTCACTGAGAAGAATGTTATCAGAAAACAGGAGAAAGGTTCAGCTAGGACAGAGTTCAGATTTGTATAAGTATAATATTTGGTGATGACAAGGAGGCAAGTGCAAAGTTCTGATAGGCATTTGGAGATACTAAGAGAAATGAAGAGGATAAGAAATTCAGATGTAGGAGTTACCTTTAATAATCAACGAATGCACTTATTCACATACCCACTTTTCTATCAGTCCATCTCTTTTCACTTATCTATGTCTGCATCATGAGTTCACTCACTGATTCATTTCAGGAGCTTTTGTGAAAGTCATGAGCCAAGCCCTGGACACCTGGACACCTAGACACCATGGTTAGACATTGGCCAATAGATAGAAGATGCAATCTTGAGGATATGCCAGGAATTAAGAGGCATCCACAAAGGAGAAGGAAGGACTGGATCAGGGTAATCATAGGAAAAAAAGGAGAGAAATGAAACACAGCCCTGTTTCTTACCAGATGGATAACGTGGAAGAAATGATTTATCTATCCTTTCTAGCCTCATTTTTTTTTCTCTGAACAAAACAGAGGTAATAAACAGTACTAGCTTCATAACAACGCTGTGACAAGTCCTGATGCATGGCAGGTGCACATAGATGGTAGGTGGATGGTAACATTCATGGTTACAAGAACAGTATGTGTAATTTGGTGGAAAGAAAGGGACCACATTTGGGTGGCCATCTTTTTTTTTTTTGGTTTGGTCATGGAGTTTGAACTCTGGGCCTGGATGCTGTCCCTGAGCCCATCAGCTCAAGGCAAGTGCTCTACCACTTGAGCCACAGTGCCACTTCCAGCTTTCTGGTGGTTAATTGGAAGTAAGAGTCTCAAGGGGAATTTCCTGCCCAGGCTGGCTTTGAACCACAATCCTCAGATCTCAGCTAGGATTACAGGTGTGAGGCACCAGCACCCAGCTCTTGGCTTGCCATCTTTTGTAGGATGACTATGGTTTGAATAGAAACTGGACACCAGCTATCCACTTTCCGTGAAGGAAAATGCATTCTCTGCAAACCATTAAATTGGTCTGCTGAGTCAATCCTTCATGGTGAGTGTTCCGATTAAGTAATGACAATATTTCTTTTTCTATTTTGAGAGTTGTGTCTTCTTGCTGGGCTTAAATAGTAGGGTCAAGAGCACTGGTCAAGGTAAGTAGTTTTAGGCCAGTCAATTTGTACTTGCTGAATATTGAGGGGCAAGGCTGTGGACTGGAACGTGGCCAAGAGGATCCACATTCTGCCTCCTGAGCTTCTGAAGAGGACAGGACACAGGAGATACTGGGGACAGGGAGGAGGGCACAAAATTTTCTGGGGGAAAAAAGAAACACTTGTGTCTGGAGGACTAAGTGTAACTATTACCCCAATATCATTTGCCTAAAGTGATCAGTGCTGCTCTCAGTGTTGAGTCCAACAGACCTCCTAGCCCTTTGTCACATAGTCTTGTCCTCTCCAGTGCGTTGGTGGAAAGGGGAAGGAAGTCAGGACTGGCTTGATTAAACTCAGTGACTAAGGAGGTTTGGGGCCAGAAATAGCTGAAGAAATGGAAACTACTTATCAAGCTGGCACAGACTACAAGACTTGGGCTGACGGTCTACATTTTGATCCATACAGCAATTATGAGTTGGTATTATTTACCTCATTTTGTGGATGAGGAAGTTGAGGCTCAAACAAATGGCTTGCTCCAAGTCTAACATGAGTGAACCAGCATGGATTTCTAACTAGCCCCTCCATTCTCTCCATCCTCCAGCCTGTGAAGTTAGGAGGCAGAGAAGTGGCAGGAGATCCAGTGTCTCTATCTTCTCCACTTACATCAGAACCCCAAGTTCTTGGAGAAGCAAACTTTCAGCGAGCTGGGTCTGAATAGCTTCCCTACAACAAGAAGGAGGAGGAGCAGGGATGAAAACAGGGGAGGAAGGGAAGGGAAAGGAAAGGAGAGGAAGGGAGAACAGGGAAGGGAGGAGAAGGAAAGGGAAAGGAGAGAGGAAAGGGAAGGGCTAAGGAGAGGAGGAGAGGGAAGGACCAGAGAGGAAGCACAAGGAGCCAGGAGGATATTCAGTTTCCCAGACCCATAGCCAGGCACAAGTGGCTCACACCTGTAATCTTAGCTACTCAGGAGTCTGAGATCTGAGGACCTCAGTTTGAAACCAGTCTCAGAAGGAAAGTCTGTGAGACTCTTATATTGTTTTTCTTTAAAAATGTTTATTGGGGGCTCGGAACGCCTCCTTTCTTTGTTTCTTGTTTTCTTTGTTGGCCATAGGGCTTGACCTCAAGGCCTGGGTGCTGTGAGCTTTTTCTGCTCATGGCTAGTGCTCTGTCACTTTGAGCCACAGCACCACTACTGGTGTTTAATTGGAGATAAAAGCCTCATGGATTTTCCTGCACGGGGTTGGCTTTGAGCTACAATCCTCAGATCTCAGACTACTGAGTAGCTGGGATTACAGGTGTGAGTCACCAGCACTTGGCTCTCCTCTCATTTTCTGTACACTAGATTGTCTCATACCTTGGATATGAGCTTTCTGAGCATGAGGATTTCATGGACCAATCAAAAGGAAACCTGTTGCAGTCATGGAATGCAGAGCAGGCTGCTGATGAAAAGAAAACTTTGAACCCAGCCAAAAGCTGGTAGCTCAGTTTTGCAATCCTAGTTATTCAGGAGGCTGAAATCTGAGGATCACTGTTCCAAGCCAGTCTGGGCAGAAAAGTCCATGACACTCTTATCTCCAATTAGCCACCAAAAGCCGAAGTGAAGCTGTGGCCCAAATGGTAGCACTAGCCTTGAACACAAAAGCTCACAGACAGTGCCCAGACCAAGAATTCAAGCCCCAGGACCAGCCAAAAAAGAAAAAGAAAACCCTGGACCCAAACAGAACCTTAACCCTGCATTCAAACACCAATCTATCAAAGCTAGGCACCAGTTGACTGTAATCATAGCTACTCGGGAGGCTGAGATCAAAGGCAGTGGGGCCAGGAAAATCCAATGGACATTTATTTCCATCTAAGTACCAAAAAAGCCTGTAGTGGAGCTGTGGCCCAAGTGGTAGGGCATGAACCTTGAGCAAAAAAGCTCAGGGACAGAACCCAGGCCCCGAGTTGAAGCCCAGGACACAGAGAGAGAGGGAGAGGAGGGAGAGAGAGAGGGGGGAGAGAGAAAGAGAGAGAGAGGAAAAGAGAAAAATGGTCTGATTAACATAGTGACTAAAGTTGCCAGTAGGTCAGGATAAGAGATGGCTGGCCCTGGGATTTGGCCACATGAAGTAGTCAATGATGAAACTGTCAAGAGAGGTCTCATATTCTGTCAATATCTTAAAAGTGGAATAAAAAAGGATGGAAGGGAGGTGAGGCTGGAAAGGACTGGAACACAGAGATTTGTTGTGCCAGTGAGCAGAAAGTGGGATAGGGGGTGTAGGAGATAGAGGATTTGGCACCCTGAGGCGGGATGGGAGTGGTAAACAGATTAGAGGAGGGAAAAGGGAAGAGGAAAGAGAAGGAGGAAGGAGAGCAGGCTCCAACCCACTGAGGTGAAAGAGGACAGATTGCTTTACACTTGAGGTTTCATCTGGCCCACGGCACAGAGAGCAAGATTCTAGCTGACACAGCTAGGCCTCCTGACAGATAAGACATTGCCTAAGAAGACTGATAAGGGCCGAACAGGTCTTTCTCTTTCTCCTCCTCTGGCCAGGGCCCTACAGAGGAATTAATGGTTTCCTCTGGTAAACTGGACCCTGCCAAGGCGGAGCAGGAAGACCTTGGGTGGGCGTGGCGTGGGCGTGGCCCTTTCCACCTGGCTGTCACCACTTGGAGCCCAGAGGTGATCCCGGGAGCCAGGCCACCAGGATGAAGTTTGCACCTTTGTCCGTGCCTTGGGAGCGCAGGCTGCAAACCTTCGCGGTTCTACAGTGGGTCATCAGTTTCTTGGTCGTGGGTAAGACAAGGGATCATGAGCCCGTGGGGAGGGCAGCCATGGCAGGGTTGTGGGAAAAAAAAAATCTAGAGGGAGTTTTGCTGTGTTCACAGCTCCTGCCCACAGGAAGACTTTCTGAGCCTGTCCCAGAGCCTTTTGAGAGGTCCCCTGTGACTTTGGGAGGATTTTAGTGTTCTTGGATTTTGGCTACAGGTTCTCTTGGCACTAAAGAGAGTGCAAGGAAGGAGGCAGCTAGGTGCAGGGAAAGTTCCAGGCTCCTCAGGCTGCTCTGATATGATGGACTCCATCTCATCTTTCAGAGTTATCTGGAAGCCAGGTGCCAGTGGGTCTCACTTGGAATCTTAGCTACCCAGGAGACTGAGATCTGGGGATTCTGTGAAGCCAACCCAGGAAGGACACATGGGGGGGAGACTCTTATCTCCAGTTAACTAGCAAAAAACTGGAAGTAGAGGTATGGCTTAAGTGGTAGAGCATCAGCCTTGAGTGAAAAAGCTCAGCAAGAACATGCATCTCTGAGTTTCAGACCCAGTAGTAGTATACAGGCAAACAGGAGAGCAGGGATGAAATGCAGATCCGTGCTTTCTTCTGCTCAGCATAGATCCAACCTGGTGGCAATGTCCTATGACACGCCTCACTTCCCCCTGGCCCAGACTTCAAGCCTACTGACAGAACACTTTCCAGAAGGGTTTTAACATGAGGACCGGGAAGGGAGAGTCAGTTAAGCATCTGGAGGCATCAGGCTAGGGAAGGAATACTGCATTGGGGTTGGGGCTCAGCCTGAGCACAAACACTGGTGGTCATCAAAACGTGAACTTACTCAGTACTTGTTGACCACATGCAGAATATCCTCATGGTATTGCAGCTAAAGTGTTTATCCCTGCAAGGTAGGCCCTCCAGGACTTCTGCCTCAGCACTCCTTCAATTTGGTCTGTATTTCTGTCCTAGGGTTGGTAGCTATGTTCAGTTCTCCGAGTCAACCCTGTTATACAAAAGGGCAAAGACATGAAGGCCCAGCTGCAGATCAGGAGTCCCAGACTCTTCTATCTGCCAGAGAAAGAAGAGCTAAGGAGGAAGAGAGAGGAGGCGTGGGCCACATTGGGTGGGCATAGAGAGCAAGGGGCCGGGGGAGTCCAGAGGTAGGAGAGAAGTGGATCATGCTCACGCTGCTTCCTGTGATCTCTGAAGGCAGGATAGGCAGGCACACCTTACACTCTGGGACCTGCCTGGTTCACTGGCACAGCCACTGGTTCACTGGCAAAGTCAGGAGTAAGTAGCACAGAATCAAAGCAGCCTGGAGCAAAGAGAGAATAGTCCAGAAAAGGAGCCTGGGCTCACTCATGCTAAGAGCAGGAGTTTTTACCTTTTCCCTTTATTCTGGGGGCAAAGGAGATTCTCAGCATTCAGGGAATGGAGTGACAAGGTCCAGTCTCTGGGGTAAAGGTTCCTGTCCCTGCCATGGAGGTGCCTCTGTGTCCTGGGGCATGGGTGGGGGGACAGGGCAAAAGAAGGAACAGTCACAGTCTAACTCAGGGGTGTAGGGACCAAATCCAACACAGAGAATGTGTTTGGACACTCTAAGAGCTAGGAATATATTAGTTTGAATTGTTTTGTGTCTTGAGACAAAGTCTCACTATGTAGCTTAGGTTGGCCTTGAACTTCTCCCTCAATTTCCCCAAGTGCTGATTAAAAGGCATGTGCCACCACACATGGCTTAATTTTTTTTTCTATTTTTGAATATATTAATATATTTATTTTTTTAAAGTCACAAACACCTTTTAGTCTTCACAATGATACTCATCATTATCTTAATCTACATTGCTTATGGACTTTATGACCCTTAACAAGAAAACCAATTTTTTTTTTTTGTCATTGTGGGGCTTGAACTCTGGGCCTAGGTGCTGTCCCTCAGCTCTTCAGCTCAAGGTGAGTGCTCTACCACTTGAGCCACACCGCCACTTCTGGCTTTTTCTGTTTATGTGGTGCTGAGGAATCAAACCCAGGGCCTCATGCATGTGAGGCAAGCGCTCTACCACTGAGCCACCTTCCCAGCCCCCAAAACTATTTTTACAAATCGGGTGATATGTGCATTTCTTTCCTTTTGTTCAATATTATCTGTTTCTTCTTTCTTTTTCTTTTTTTTTTTTTTTTGGGTTCAGTCGTGGGGCCTAAACTCTGGGCCTGGGCGCTGTCCCTCAGCTCTTCAGCTCAAGGCTAGCGCTCTACCACTTGAGCCACAGCACCACTTCTGGCTTTTTTCTTTTTGCTTTTGTGGTGCTGAGGAATCGAACCTAGGGCCTCAGGCATGCAAGGCAAGCGCTCTACCACTGAGCCACCTTCCCAGCCCTGTTTCTTCTTTCTTACTCATTCTCTCCCTCCAATCACTGTCCTTGAGTTGGTTAGTTCATTTCCATCAATGTCCAGTACAGCTGATGGGCCCCTCTGCTGTATTTTTTTTAACCTACTTTCCACTGATTCTGTACTCTGTTCCCACCTTCCCTCAGATGTACATATGTATACACCATATATGAGGCAAAGAATACAGAGTTATCTAAAAACAATGGGACAAATTAAAAAGAGGTCCTTTGTTTCCTTATCTTTGGGGTGAAAGGTTGTATTTTAAATGACCATCAAGGTACTTATGTAATATCTTCCAATTGGCTTCTTGAACCATAAAGTCGAAAGAACTTGCCAGGTTAGCAGGGGGTGGGCAGAAAGGTCTAGGTTCAAGAGCATTTTAGGAGGAGGGCTCTCCTGGATATAAACTTCAGAGTTGACTAGAGAGGTGTAAAGAAGCCTGGGTGGATGTCAGATCTTGCCCATGCATAGCTGAACTCCTGGAAACAAAAGCATAGGAAATCAGAGGAAGCGGTTTGGCTTAATCTTGAGTGCTCTTGGGTTATCTTGGGGAACTGTAGGACTTGAGAAGTCACCATGTGAGCATTGTGGCAGAGAGGCTGGGGAAGAGGCAGCAGGCACACACAAATGTGGTACTTGAGGAAGTTTAATAGACCAGTAAGGAGAATGGATGCTCCAGAGTTGGAGAACACAGCACAGAGGTGAGATGAAGGATGGTGCACACACATTGAACGGCTGATTCATGCTGCGGGTAGGGGATGCGTTTTGCAAAATGCAAATAGAGGCCTGGGAAAGTCCAGATAGTCACCAAAGGCTCAGGGCTCCAAGGTTTCCAGATTGGCTTCTTGATTGCTAGCAGTCTGTTGGCTTTCCTCTCTCCATAGCTCATGCCTCTTACATGGGAAAATGAGCATCCTTCCAACTCTATTGCTTGTATCCGCAGCTCTAGTTTCTAGAAGAGTCAGAGCTCATCTTTGATAAACAGATGGATGTTGGGCACATAATATGGACCAGTCAGTAGGACCTGAATCTCAAGTCCTCCCTTTCTAGCTTGTTATGGTTCCTTAGTCAAGTTATTTACCTTCTTTAGGCCTTTGTATAGTCAGGGTTTAAACTTAGCCCCCTCAGGGTTATAAAGAATATATAACAGAAGGTGTCTCACTTCTTACACGAACCCCAGTCTGAATTTGCCTGCCATCAGGAGTTATAATTAGGATGGAGGGATAGGGATCTTTCCGGCCAGGGGTAAAAATCCTCTGGGGTTTTTTCTTTTGTTTATTTTGTTCTGTGTGTGTATGCACATGTGTGGCTGTGCACATGCACACGTGCCTGCCAATACTGGGGTTAGAACTCTGGGCCACATGCTCTTGCTTGGTTTTTTCACTCAAGATTGGCACTTTACTACTGGAGCCGCACCTCCCCTTGCTGATTTTTGCTGGTTCATTGAAGAGTTCTTTGGACTTTTCTGCTGGGGCTAGCTTTAAACCTCCAACCTCAGATCTCAGCTTCCTGAGTAGCTAGGATTACAGGTGTGAGCCACCAGTATTCAACCCTTTGGGTTTTTGTTTGTTTGTTTTTACAATACATAGAACTTTATTTCAGTCTTAATTTTAACAAACGGGAGAAGGGATTAAACAATTGTGAGACAATCAGAAAAATTGGAGAAATGGCTGGACATTTAATGTTATTAATAAAGTAATGGAGATGGGAAGGGGAAACAAAGGAGGAGGCTACAATGCTTGATAAGAAATGTACTCATTATCTTGCCCATGTAATTGTAACCCCTCTGTACAGTAGTTTCACAATAAAAAAAAAAAAAAAAAAGAAAGTAATGGGCTGGGAAGGTGGCTCAGTGGTAGAGCGCTTGCCTTGCATGCATGAGACCCTGGGTTCGATTCCTCAGCACCACATAAGCAGAAAATAAAAAAGCCGGAAGTGGTGCTATGGCTCCAATGGTAGCGCGCTAGCCTTGAGCTGAGGAGCTGAGGGACAGCCCCCAGGCCCAGAGTTCAGGCCCCACGACCGGCCCCCCCCACTCAAAAAAAATAAATAATGACTTCTGAAGTCAGGCGCCGGTGATCCTAGCTACTCAGGAGGCTGAGATCTGAGGATCGTGGTTCAAAGCCAGCCCAGGCAGGAATGTCCGTGAAACTCTTATCTCCAATAAGCCACCAGAAAACCGAAAGTGGTGCTGTAGCTCAAGTGGTAGAACGCTAGCCCAGGCCCTGAGTTCAAGCCCCTCAACCAATAGAAAAGAAAGTAAAAAAATGGAATTGTGACTGTATGTATTTTAAATGACCACATACTTTGGGAATACATGCTGAAATATTTGTGGATAAAATGACATGACATCTGCATAGGGTTTTTTCCTAATAATTTTTTCATGTTTTCAAAATTTTATTTTTGATGTTAAAGTATACAGTAATACTTTGGTTATTAAATCATTATTATTTGTGAATTGTCACATACTTTTTATAAATAATAATTCATGACTTTGGATTTTTTTCCTTTGTTC